ACTGGTCGTCGGTTGGCCTTCTTCATGGCGCGCTTCTTCTCACCCGGCGGGAAAGGCTTCTCGAGTTCTCGGTAGACGAGGAAGTTGCCAAGAATCCGACTAGGACTCCAGGTCACGCCGTCGGTCCATCGCTTGATGCCAGACGAGTTCTCCTCGTAGATGAAGACGCTTCCACTGCGGACGAGATGACTGCGTTCCCGGTCATGGGGACGACGCGGGACATGGTGCAGGACGCCGGTCAGACAGGCTTCGAAGAGGACCAAGGCATCTGTGGTGGTCGCAACATATCCCGTGAATGTGGGCTCCAAGACCGCAGCTGTACTGTTGACCATGATCTCTGTTGTTTGTGTTGTTGTTGTTATTGTTGCGAGAGCGTGTCAGACTAGAAAGAAAACCTAGGTGCGAGCAAAGGTTTAAGGTAATCGAGCAAGGTTGAACCGCCGCGGACCAAAGTTTCGTACAACGCTGGCTATACCCGGTCGAAGGAGTCGAGCTCTCCAAACAAAATAAGGTATATAGAGGAAAAGCAAAAAAAAAAAAAACCAACACAGATAGATGTGAGTATCGCGACCGTCGAGGATTGGGAATTCGACGGAGAGTAATAGGTATGGAGGAAGGAAAAGGAGAGGGGAGGGGAGTGAAAAAAAAAAAAAAAAGGAAAAAAAAAAAAAAAAGAGGGGACAAGAAACCTCCCGTGACGACAAGCAAAAACGAGACCTCGAAATGAATGAGTGACAAGAACTTAGGAGGAGCTTTCTCCCTCAGATCAATCTAGATGAACCCGCGGAACGAGGTTATTTGGAACCTGGAGGAGGGAAAAACACGGGTGGACCACTCTTTGGACGATCCGGTCTTTTTTCTTGAACACAAAAAGTGAAAATGAAGTTGAGAAGCAGAGAAAAAGAAGAGATTATTAGAGGCTTATTAGAGAAAGAGGAGAATAAGAACCCTCCCAACTGGATCTCCAGAGCTGCCCTATAAACGCCCGGTTCGACTGGCCCAAAGTGGATGAATGGAGAAGATCCACGGACGAGAGTCGGATCGCTATACAGTGCAGTGCAGTACAGTACAGTACATACACTTGACTACCACGAGTGATTTTTATTTTTTATTTATTTTTTATTTATTTATGAATATGCCTAGATTAACATGGAGAATGAGAAATAATAATTATAAAAGATGCAGGGACGTTTCTGTAGGCACCTTCCTGATGTAGAGCGTATTACCGTACCATACGCTACTTAATAATAATCTACGACTAACTAGTCGGTGGATCAGAGCATCATCATTAATTTCGTCCGCATCATAGACTATCGGGGGAGCGGAGGGAGCACTCTGTACGCAGTGCTGCGTACAGAGTGCTCTTGATTAGAAGAGTACAGAGTACTCTGTACTGGTACAAGGTACATAGTATGTACTCTGTAGAGTGCATAGTAACATATCTGTTGAGAGAAGTACTGCATGAATATGCAGCTTTAGTCGGCAATAGTTTAGGAGCGGGATTTGCAGCGGGGGATCTTGCCAAGTACTCCATACTGTATGTTGTAATAGTACAGCCACACTGGAGAACTATGGTATGATTTTACTACTCTAATTTGCTCTTTTCACTCTACTACGGAGTACTCCATACTATCCCATTCACTCCCATGCTGTATTGTACGTACAATACATACGTACGGACACCAGATGGCCCGTGATGAGGCGCTGACTAAGTGGGGCATCTGACCGACCAACCACGGATCACCTGACTGGCCATGTACGTGCATTCACGTACGATACACGATCCGGTTGCTATACGGAGTACATATACTCCGTACTCTGTATACATAGTAGATTATGCTGGTTGTATGGAGAAGCGGACATAGTCTACTCTATATCCGCGGAGTTGCTATTGAACCAGTACCATACATTGTTATTCTACCAGCCACTAATGGTCAAATTGCTCACATCCTGATTGGCAGTTGGTACAATACGGTAATACCATTCGTAATTGATGTCAGGGGAGGGGACAGTGCGCATCCGCGTGTCTCCGTATCTGTAGATCTTCCACTGGTCCGTTCGTATAATACGTACAAAACAAATACATATGTACTGAGAATGAAAGATTAAGTTGCCAGGTTAATGTTAAGGGACCGTTCCTTGAGCTTAGGACTGATAAACCTTCGCGGGAGATCCTCAGCAGATCCAGCAGTATTCAATTCTACAGAGTACGGAGTACATATGTAGTAGAGTACGGCAAGGATACTGCGAAAATGAGAGAGAACCATGTGAACACAATTGATAAGAATACGGGGCATCCTCAGTGAATACGGACTACGCGAGAGGCATTATCTACACGGAGTGCATACTGTACAACCATAGCATGATCCGACAAAGTGGATGAACAGCAGTTGGTACGTGCTTAACCAAACTCAATTCGGCCACCGACCCCTGATTTCATTGTACACTTGTCCAGCCCAAGTAAGAAGAAGCATAATCATAATCCGGAGAACCAGAAACAAGCGCCTCTCTCCGTCCCAAGTAAACTCCGTAGACGCGGTGTTCACTTCGGGTGCCAACTCCATTGCCACTGACTGTGTACTAGTGTATACTAGTGTGTTACGGTAAATACGAGGAGTACAACTAGATCAACGATCCACCATTGTAGTCGCCATGACTGGACGGATTCTAGACCCTGACGGAGATAATCGGGACGGAGAACCGGGAGTACAAACTACTCCTACAGAGCTACTCTGGAGTAGACGTCAAGCCGCGTTTAATCCATGCACGCAGAAAGAGCCATAACAAGCAAGGAGATGGATCTGCATCTTCGCCAACAACTCCGTACAAATAATAATACTACGGAATACTCTGTACGTACTAGTAGTAATAATGGTGCGCGCGTCTACGCATGGACTCATTCCCCCACTAAAACGCAGCCCTCTAACTGGCCACCACGCCGACATTCCCCCGCTTGGCCCAGAGACCTGGGCTTCATCGCCAGTGCGTCTACTGTCGTGATTGGATACTTTCCGAGGCGCAGATCAGACCGCACAGATGGTACGGTTATTGATACGGTACTTGCTGGACTTACTCTGTGGCGTTGTTAATACCGCAATCCAGGCGATCTTTTTTGCCAGGTGGTCATTTATTGCATGCGGGAATCCTTTTCTGGTAGGAGTCGCTCCTAATCCGAGGAGGATCTTAATTTACCGCGATTATGGTCCTTCCAGCCTCCTTAGCCGTACGGAGTACAGTCTACAAACATATATGTACTCCGTACTCTGTACAGTGGTGGATTAACACACATGGTGCCCCGCCATGTCTGAAAATTAGTTTTCGGGCCCGGACTAGTGGCCTCCAGGAATGTGTTTTCTCGCCAATTTGCACTGAACACGTTTTAGTGCTGATAGTCTGGAGTAGCGCGGTGATCTCCATCTTTACAGCCTCCTCCGGACTAGAGTAATAATCACCATGAAATGAAATGCACCTACCGCACCGGCACGTTCGCTATCATTACCACTCTCGGTAATACCATTCATTCGGTACTTGGCGCATTGGCCAGAGTCAGTACAGAGTACTCCGTACTTGTAGAGACCCGTATGTGATAGGAGATACTAGTGAGTACAGAGTACAACCACACCGGATAGAGTTTAGAACCATGTGGCATGAATAAGATCTCTGCATTGGTATGCTGTATGCTTGGTACGGAACTTGCTCTGTGCAGCCGGAGAATACGGTCGACCGCGCTTCGTAAGTGCTGTCGTACTCTGACTCAGTGCAAGGCAACCTGATTATTATTCTACTCCGGAGTATGTATTTGGATTGTCAAGGCAATTGAACTACGAAGTAGTACGGAGAACTTTGTCCTATAATGAGTCGGATTTTACTAAGAGTCACCATCCTCATCTCACACTACGTACAGCCCCAATCCGTGTAACTAGTACGTACCCACAGACACAGACACACGACAAAGTCAATCTCAATCTACACCTACCCATGTCAACATAGCAGATCCAGTTCGCATCCGCATCCGCATCGAATAACATAAACACAAACATGACATACAGTTATCTGACAAGTCACTAACCTTATTCCCCTCCTGTACATTATGGGGTATGAAGGTTTGAATCTTCCTGGAAAACCTTAAGTATATACATTAAGGGAAAAATATGCTTTATATTGCTTTTTTTTTTTTTTTTTTTCCGTTTGAGACTTTTGAGTTTGTGTCGTTTGCGGATGAACTCTGGTGTCAGTGTCTGTCAGAAATGTGGTGTCAGGGATATATCAGTGCACTTAAGCGAGTGTGTTCGATTGATTGGTGTGCGGGATGGCGTGTGGTTGGATGCTGACAGCAAGATGTGATAGGTAGTAAGGCTTTTGTTTCAGGTGTCTGAGGACTCCACCCTGAGTATGGTATGAATTTATTCTTTGGGCGATTATTCAATCTACCTGTACATCTACAAGTATATGCTAGTAGTAGAGATAATGGTGAATGTATTGGCCATGCATGTGATTACTTTCCTCTTTAGTCACTACACATGCTTGCACAGTTCTGCTTATGCAGTACATAGTACACAACACCCCTTCCTTAACCAAGCCACAACGCCACGATCCTTCAGTTGCGTAAGCGTGATATCCAGATCACCGCATCCAGTATCCAGGGATAAGAAGTCGTTAGCGAGAACATAGCATCCATCCCGTTTATGTTAGGAGTCTGTCTAGATAAGCCGTTGGCGCTATACATACTTGTAGCGATCAAGCCACGGAATAGGGTAACTACTTATTTATCGAGATAAGCCAGGAATTGACGTGTGTGAGTTAGGCGCGAGGGGGTGATTACATGTGGTAGCCAGATGGTTTATCGCATTCGGAGGATTGAGGGTGGAGTGGAATGTAGGCAATCTGGCATTGGAATGCACAGGAGGGTTATCGGTGTTTTTGTGCTGCGTTAGGTGGGCATTGGGTCTTTTTGGATAACAGCTGGTGCTGGTGCTATTTTAGACGGATCAGAGAGGAGATAAGTGTTTTCGCTTCGGAATTCTTTTTGAAATGGGATGCCATTATCTCATACCAAGTTCATGCTAATGGAATGTGCGTATGGATATCTATGCTATTACGTTGTACATGAGTCCTCACATCAAAACCCAAACCCAGAACTCATACCCTCCATAAAATACCACGGCTTCAATCGAGCATCACCCTCATACTTCTTCCCAGGAACACTCATAGGAACAGGCACTGTGCCGCGGAAGACATCTAACATCCCGCCGCCCTCTTTAACCTCGTCATCGGGTTTCTTTTCGGACTCGGAAACAGGAACGATAACCCCGCACTCCCAGTTCCGGCAGTTGAGTTTTGGGGGTTTGGGGTTTAATTTGATGGTGCTGGTGCGGTCTTGGACGAGGCGGCCCCTGTTTAGTCTTGTTAGTATGGTTATGTTGAGTTGGTTGTGGGAAGGGGAGGTACCAGGCACTCTCTGATAGATTGGCGCTTCCGATGTATGCCCATGCTGGACAGGTGCTGCCGCTGGTGTTGCTATTCTGTCGGGATATCGGTTCGTCTGGTCGTACGTACATAATCTACCAGCATCCATCCATTAGCACTCCACTTCAAATCAGAGGAATAGGAAAAGACCTTATTATGCATCAAAAGACCCCTCCTCGCACTAGCGCAATCCCGGAGTATGCCGCTCGGAAACTTGGGCCCATTGAACCAACTCGACTGGAAGCAGATCGTGCCGGCGGAGTTGGGGCCGCCATATGTTTCTTTCACGGTTTGTTCAGAGGGGAAGTACACCCGTAGGCGATCGTCTTTCCATTCGTGGGTCTTGGAGTCGGGGGTAGATTTGGATTTGGTGGCTCGCGCCGTGTATTCCGTAAGACCGTCGTCGCCTGTTTGTATCAGCATTGATGTCGTGCAGGAGGGTTGAAGGAGGTACCTTGCGCGGCGAGGTAGATGGATCGGAGAAAGTCGTCGTTTAGAGATCCGAGGGAGGAGGTCACGTAGTCAATTTTCAGCGGGTTAGAAGTCCGTAATCCTAACGAGTTCACGGCTCGTCCTAATCCACAGTATCCTGTTCGTCGCCAGGACTCTCCCGTATGCGCTCCGCCGCTGCAGTTGTCAGTATTACCCTAGACAAAAGGGGATTGACCTACATGGTATGCACAAAGGCGTATTTAGCCGTCTGGCTAAAGTCGAAATTGTCGAGCTTGGTGATGATATTGTCGTGCAGGGTGCTAGCCTTGAGAAAGTATACCAGCTCTTCGTAGAATGCCATCTTTGTGTCCTCGTTGCCGCTGGTTTTCTTAGGAAGGTCGATGAGGAAAACGGACTACTTCATTAGCAGCGAACAGGTGGGATATCTGAAGTGGCGTACGTTTTCCATTGTTCCACCGTGTCCCCAATCGAAAGATGTGAGATTCGCAGTTGGAACGACGATCCGAACGTATCCAGGATGAAAAAGTAGCATGAGCTTTGAATGCATGCAGTTCACCTGTCCTTCCATGGAGGGGAAGCACAATCGCAAATTTGGCATCATAGCCGTTTCAGCCTCGTACTGTCGTCTCTACTTCACGTTAGCACGTTCTAGCATGTTGGGTGTCCAACCTACCGTCGACTCTTCTTTGGCCTGCATAATCAGTAGAAAGCGCGTCTTTTTCGTGTCAAGGTTCGAAAACACCCAATCCATGTCCCACATGAACGAGCTCAGAACGGCCAGCTCTAAGTCTGACGCTTGGAATACCTCGTTGATTTTGATATCGTCGCCTGACCTCCGAGCATTGGCGTTCCACGTTTTCTTGATCGCGCCGGCAGGAAACTGAACGCAGGGTGTGGGCGTTGGGGTTTCGGCACTTTTGGCCTTAGGTTCCTTGCGAGGTTCTGGTTTGGGGGTAGGCGATTTGCGAGGACTCTTAGTGCCTGGTCTCTTGCCCTTTGGAGACTCTGTTCGCGATTGCTTTGTTTCACGCTGATCTGGCGAAGTGTCTGCTTTTCTCTTCGCAAGACGAGCAAGACGCTCTTCCTCCATTTTATTTCGATCTAGACCCATTATTCCTGTCGAAGATGGCTTCTGTCCTTGCGTAGGCTGTTCTTCCTTCTGAGCTTGAGACGGTTTCTTGTCACCCTCAACAGAAACTGGCTTAGGAGAGTCGCCCTTCTTCGTCGACATTTTGACAACTTCATCCCCATCACTATCTTCGACCTTCTCTGGTGCACTCTGCATGGACATCTGTATCGCTCTTTCCAAGTCTTCATCATAATCGTCCCCATCTTCAGTCTCTGATCCAACCACAGACTGAGATTTTGGGTAGACTTCTACCACTTCATCCCCGTCATCTGAGTCAGCAGTCAGATCGACGACATCTTGTTGCTTGGAAGAAGTAGGATCGTGCGAGCGTGCAGAGCCCTGGGAGTCTTCTAATGAAGCTGCAATAGCTGCTATGAGCTCTGGATCATCCATATCGTCATTGCCACTCATCTTGCTCGGCCGTGGCTGTTTCAGAGGATGGAATAAAAAAAAAAAAAAAACGCGCAATTTTAGAGAGCAACAGGAATTTGAGTAAAAAGAGCTCACGAGTTCTGTGTGGAGAAATCTGCTACAAAAGTCGGTAGTATATGAGAAGTCCTGTTTATGATAAAACCACCGCGACGACGCGTATAAGAGTCGCTCAAGCGAACGCGGTGATTTCCAGGGATATGAGAAATCGAGTAAGTTGTAGACTCATTTACAGGGCCTCATAAGAAAAAAAGATGGAAAAAGATAAGGATAGAGTGAATCGATGAATGACAGACGCCCTGGTTCCGCCATGACACGTGACCGCGATATCCCAATTAGGGAATGCGAATACAAACACTCATTTTGGATTCCTATACAGTAGAATGTGCCCCAAAAAACTAGCTAGATGCGATTTGTTACGGTCTCCTCCATACGGATATTTCAGGGTTTTAGTGGATATTTCATTATTCGCTGTAGCGTTCAGTTGTGCTCAATATATCAGTGCTGCTGTGGTTCAAGTCTCCTTTAAAGAAGCTCTTAAAACGTAGGCTTTCCCCTTGCTCTCACATGGTTTCCCAAACATTTCCCAGTTGAATCAGTTTTCCAGTATTCCTCAATCCCCTGGTGTAATCTCACGAATACTGGAATGATACTTATGAATGGACCCGACTAACTCCCGATCTATGCGTGTAGATGGATCGGTTCTATTCCGTCTTGGAACCAAGGAGAGCAATGATGCCGTCGGCGTAGCTAGCAACCTGCCATGGTTGCTCCTTGACAGTTTTCGTTGCAGGAATGTTGAGACTCGTGGTTTCAATGAGTGAGCCCGTTACGGTGTTCTTCGTAGGTGTTTTCATTTTCCATCTTCCTCGGCCAGCTCCTGTGCAGTCGACAATATTGGCGAGGCAAAAATATCCAACGTCAACCATATCCCACCCATTACTCGTATCTGGCAAGGTCCCCTAGACGCACTGAAGAACAAGCTCAATGATACCAAAGAACACGTCTCGATCAGCCTCAGCAGTGTCCAATCCCAGCCCGACGATAAGTAACCTATTCTCATCAGGCGACTTCGTCACGATGGCACTGGCAATTTGACGAGCATATAGCTGACCAATCGTCTCCTGCCCAGGGACCCGACCACCCAGAACCGAAGTCGCAGTCAGGTTATTGATCGGAAGGAGACTGTCCTCGGAGGAATCGGGGATCATGTGGAATCCCTCTGTACCTGGATTTTTGTTTTCCAGGGGTACATGGAGCTGTAGTTTGTTAGTCATTAAATCACCGCGATGACAGGACAGAGCACGCACCCAATGAGCTAGACGACCCTTCTGGGAGATGGTTACGAGGATCTTATCGGCGAATTCTATGTAGACGACCTCTGTTTGGACGCCATTGATGTTGCCAGCGGCCTGCTTTGTAGTTGCCGGAAACGGAAGGTTCAGAGGCTGCTGGAGTTGGCTGAGATCAAATGGATCAGACATAGCGGTAGACATCTTTTCGTTTCCTTTCTGGACTGCAGACAGAATAGTGGGCTGGCATGGAGGGGATCTTGTGGTATCCAAAGGCGGTAAGTACACTACAGACCGCTTTTCGGCAGTATATTACCGCCGGGCAATGCGGCCGATTTTTTTCTTCATCCAAGATCTTATCTACAAGATTCTTTCGCAGCGCTTTTATTTTTATAAATTGGGCCTCTTTGTCTTGATAGAGACAGAGAATCCGCCATAATGCCCAAGTTTGTCCCTCGCCAGCGAAAGCAGAAGCACAGACAGAATGAGGCCGCGAAAGCTGCTCCGGTAGACACCAATGTCTCCGAAATCCAGCCCGCCTCCAAAAGTGAGAGGGAAGCGAGACGCCAAAATCTCAGAGAAGAATTGAGATCGCAACATGAGCACGTTTCTGCTAAGAAGCAGAAGCGTCTTGATAAATACATTGTATGTGCGGTTGATCTGATCTGAAGGATATTTCTAACACCGCGCAGGAAAACAAACTCAAGAAAGAAGAGAACCTCGAACTCTTGAAGAAACTCGCGCAGCAGAAAGTCGATACCTCCAGTCTTCAGAGCTCTAGAGAGATTGGGAAACGCAAGCGACAGGATGACTCGACGGCCAAGTCCCTTGAAGCGAATGAAACTCCCGCCCAACGCGTCCAACACTCCCAACACGACCTCTCCGGCGACGAAACAGACGAATCGGACCTCAAACTTAAAGCAGGCCTGGCGATAGAAACAAGGGTTGAAGATGAGCCGAAACCGCAGGAGCCAGCAGTAATCGGAAGTGGATTGAAGCGCCCTCTTGAAGTCGGATCGGACGGATTCCCATTACTCAAGAAGCGCAAGCGGGTGCCAAAGGTAAAACCAGCGGCTGCAGCGGAGGAAGTGCCATGGGAGGGATTTGACTCTGAGGAGGAAGAGGATAGCGATGATGAGGAAGATGAGTCGGATAGTTCCGAGGGCGAAAGTGAAGATGACGAATCAGAGGGCGACGAGGAGGGCAGCGACGAAGACGAAGACGAAGACGAAGAAGAAGATAACGACTCGGGCTCAGATGCTCCACCACGCCGGTCTGCGTTCAAAGCATGGGCACAGCAAGTGATTAATGAAAACGTGGGATTCACACCGACTACAGGACCGGTTGAAGTACCCGAAGTGCCGGAAGCATTTGAACCTCCACGCAAAGAGGCGAAAAACACAGTCGAAATGGAGGAACCCCTACCCGCCGAGCTGCAAGTCACGACAGGAGACCCCAACCGGAAAGCCTTCAGTGTCCCAGTTGATCGCCCGGAAGAGATACAAAACGCACGTTTGGGATTGCCGGTTGTGGGTGAGGAACAGAAGATCATGGAAGCCATCCACAACAATCCAGCCATTGTCATTTGGGGAGCTACTGGTAGTGGTAAAACGACGCAACTGCCGCAGTTCCTGTTCGAAGCTGGCTATGGCAACCCCGACAGCCCTAACCCAGGCATGATTGGCGTGACTCAGCCTCGTCGTGTCGCTGCCGTTAGTATGGCAAAGCGCGTTGGCGATGAGTTGGGCCAGTATTCGAAACAGGTTTCTTATCAGATCCGGTTCGAAAGCACAGCAAGCAGCAAGACCGCTATCAAATTCATGACCGATGGTATTTTGCTCCGTGAGATTGCGGAGGACTTTGCATTGCTCAAATACTCTATCATCGTCATTGATGAAGCACACGAGCGAAGCGTCAACACGGATATTCTCATCGGTATGATCAGCCGTATCGTGGAATTGCGAAAGAACATGATGCAAGAGGACCCATCTGTCAAGCCATTGAAACTTGTGGTCATGTCTGCGACGTTGCGAATTTCAGACTTCATGCAGAACCCAAGCCTTTTCCGCCATGGGGCACCTCCTCTCGTTCAGGCTGAAGGCCGTCAGTATCCTGTCACTGTACACTTCGCCAGACGAACACACCGTGACTATCTTGAAGAGGCATACCGAAAGGTATCACGGGGACACCGGAAGCTACCACCTGGAGGCATGCTTGTGTTCTTGACCGGCCAGAACGAGATTAGACAGGTCTCCAAGCGGTTGAAACAGGCATTCAAGCCTACGCAACGGGGTGAGGTCGCCCAGGCGAAGGTCCAGATTTCTGCCAACGATGCCCCTATCGAGGCTGAAGATATGGAACTTGGGGCTACAGAGATGGCCGCTCCGGGCAACATGGAGGACGACGACAGCGATCTGGAGATCACTGGTCTCGACGATGATCCCGAGGAAGACGAAGACTTCAACCTGGGTGAGGAGGCAATGGACGCTTCAACAAAGGTTCATGTGTTGCCACTGTACTCGCAACTCCCTACAAAGGAGCAACTCAAGGTGTTTGAGACTCCACCGGAAGGCTCACGACTCATTGTTCTCGCGACCAACGTGGCGGAAACCAGTCTTACAATCCCTGGCATCAAGTACGTGTTCGACTGCGGACGAGCCAAGGAGAAGCAGTACGACCTGTCGACAGGTGTGCAGCGCTTCCAAATCGACTGGATCAGCAAAGCCAGCGCAAACCAGAGAGCTGGTCGTGCTGGTCGTACAGGACCCGGTCACTGCTACAGACTCTACTCGTCAGCTGTCTACGAAGGCGAGTTTGCCGAATACACTGACCCAGAGATCTTGCGGACGCCAATTGAGGGTGTCGTGCTGCAGATGAAGAGCATGGGTCTTCACAATGTCATCAACTTCCCGTTCCCTACACCCCCCAGCCGTCAAGGATTGGCAAAGGCCGAAAAGTTGCTGAAGAACCTTGGAGCCCTCTCGTCCAGTGGCCAGATTACCCCGATTGGACACCGGTTGTCCACCTACCCGCTGTCACCGCGATTCAGCAAGATGCTGCATATCGGTCATCAGCATGGTTGCATGCCCTACGTCATTGCGCTCGTTGCGGCATTGGCGGTGGGAGATCTGTTTGTGCCGGGGAATCAAATTGACCCAACTCCATCAAAGAAGGAGGAGAATGATGACGATGACGAAGACGTAAAGAAAAAGAAAAAGGTGTACACAAACCAAGACCGTCTAGAAGACACAGCGCGGGAACAGCGCCACAAAGACTTCTCCCGAGCGCACCGTCTGTTCGGCAAACACGATGATACCTCAGACAGTCTGAAATACCTCTCCGCCATCTGCGCCTACGGCTACGCATCCGACGGCGATGCCTTCGCTGAGCAGATGTTCCTCCGTGCCAAGGCATTCAAGGAAGCAACCCAACTCCGCAGCCAACTTACCGACATTGCCCGCAACAACAACCCCGGCATCGTCCCCGCCTACACACCTCGCCTTCCTGAACCATCCGATAAACAAATCAAAGCTCTCAAGCAAATCGTCACAGCGGGTTTCATCGACAACATCGCTATCCGCGCAGACCTCGCCCCGGTCCCGCCGGAGATGCACCGTACCCCGAAACGCGCTATCGATGTGCCCTACCTCACCCTCTTCAAGTCTCGCGAGGGACCTGCAACAGAACTCCAAGAGAAAGCCGTCTACGTGCACCCTACTTCGCTACTAGCATCTCTCTCTCCGAAGGAAATGCCGCAGTACGTCATCTACTCGCATCTGCAGCAGTCCGCGCCGAGCCTTGTATCCGCGGACCAGACACCCAAGGTGCGGATGTATCCGCTCGTCGCACCCAGTGGGTTGCAGCTAGCTGCGATCGCCCACGGGACGCCGCTGCTGGAGTACGGAAAGCCGATTGGGAAGATCGAGTTGTTGGAGGGAAGCATGCCTCCAAAACGGGCCTGCTGGGTTGTGCCGTCGCTGGTAGGCGAGGCGGGTGGTATGGGGTGGCCGTTGCCTGCCAAGAAGGTAATTCAAAAGAAGGATCCCAAGGGAGGATGGGTCATTGAAAAGTTTAGCACTTAATTGTACATAGTATATAGATTCTGCAATTGATTGATACCTAACTATGGACATAGATCCTGATTCGGAGCAAATTAGCAAACCCTAAAGCGCTTTATGCATTTATCGAAAATCATATTCAATAAACCCCTGATTCTGAAAAACACCATTACGATATTCTTCCAGGTGATCTCCAAGCGGTAGCGGTCCCTGGTCTTTCAAGCCTTACCCCGGTGGATGGTGTGAAACAATCTGAACCATGTTCTTTTCAATGGACATCAATGTCATGTCTCCTTAGTAAACTGCACGATCAACCTATCGATCAGTACGCAGCCGACGGCACAGGAGCATTAGTGGAGGTGAAGAGCACGGCTTTGATGCATCCGTCTTGGTGATTACTGACAATTTGCCGATGTTTTGCAAGCAACTAGTGTCTGCGTCGAGTGAGCTATGCAATGGTGTACACTACGGCAATAAAGCCGAATATGGACAAAACGATGAGGCCTGCTAGCCTCCAGGTGTGCGATCGGGTCGGCAGCACGCGGAGCAAGCCGCTGAAGGGCTGGGGACTCATATCTGGCTGTATGATTCATATGCGCGGTGGAATTTCCAATAAGGCCCTAGGATCAGGAAACCAATTTTCGGTAGGTGCATATCGCATCTTGCACCCCTGCTAATGTCGCACCCAGGAAGAACTTTCCTAGGCTTTTTTGCATTTGTTTATCAGGGGACCTGGTACATAAAGGGGCGAAATTGCCATGATCCTATCCATCCGCACCATTCTGGTGGCCCCAAATATGGTACCTGGTACCGTCATAACAATTAATATCATGATTGTGTTGATCTGGCCCTTAGACTGGTGTATTTAATTGAACACCTCATCCGCGCGAAATCAATCCAGCCAGCACCTATAAAATTAATATCTTCGTAAGCGACAACGTGGAACAGGATAGCAGACGGCGACAAGGACGTATACTGGCCCAGAAAGGATTTGATCTGTAAGATACATTATTCTTGCCCTTATGGATGATCTTACGGACCATTTCACTCGAAGCGAATGCCGTCAGTAGTCGACATATTTGTTTCCTGTGAAGTACTATGTGGGAGAACGAGGCCATTCCTCCCAAGGGTGCCTTTCGCAGCTGGAGAGTACCGTCAGAATTGTCCTTGTTGTTAAAACCCAACCGTTAGAAGTGCTCTGCAGGTTCATTCATGTACCGTCCCTTAGTTAAATCCACTTAGCTTTAGCTTCTAGGGCCAGTAATCCTTCCATCGACCAAGCCCGCTTCCAGTGGGTGAAGCCCACACTGGTACGTCAGAGAAACAAGATTGTTCACGGGTTTTGTAGTAATACGACTTGATCTTTATGTGTCAGTAAAACAATACCCTGCCCCGTGAGCACTTTCGTATTGCTATTCGACTGTAGATTAGGATAACCGCGATTTATTTGAGGTAAGGTAAACGCGGGGACCTCTTTGGATCCGTCTGGACTTTTGTACGCGATGTAGGACCACCAGCGAATGGCCATGGATAATGATCCCAAGCCAGAAAATTAGGCATCGCGACTCACAGCCTGGATTTAGCCTGCAAAGAAAATGTACACTTAGAGAGTCACCTCCGTGAAGCTAGCTTCATCCTGTTTTACCTTGATACATGAGGACCGGGATGGAGTGGAGGTGAACATTTGGCGAGGCCGAGACGTAGGTGGCTAGCGTGGGTTGACATTGTGTTCACAATTCTGGGCGGATGGTGATCTTGTACACGCAACACAGCCATATAGTCCATTTCTTTTCTCTATGGCGTGCTCAGCCAATTTTATCTGTGGTATCGACTCATTCAGGAAGCTATCCTTAAAGCAGTACATTTACTTTAGGTGCTTTTCATCTGTTTCTTCAATGGGCCCCCGGATTTTATTTTCATCATTGAAGAGGATGCCCTGAGCAACTCCGCATTCCTCTGTCACTCTTTTCATCAACTGTGGGGAGTTTCGGAAGCAAGTCTGGCTTGAGCGTTTGCGACTACTTGTCCCAAGGTGAGCATACAAGCAGTCCCCTCAAACGGAGTAACCATATTTTCGTATCAAGGCGGAGCTTGTAAGTTTTTCAGACAATCCGGATTTAAGGACTATGCTGGGTCGTTTAGGGTTGTGCCGGCTGATGCTCCGCCTGCTATCATGAAGGCATCATGTTGATCACGGCAACCTCCGTCCTCTACCCAGGTTGACCCAGTTGGGATAAGGTATTTTATCAACCATATCCTGTTCCTTTTGATGGTGGAAAAGTCCCATAGTCCGAGTAAACTGCTGATCGAGATGTGCTATATCACGCGCAGCACCGTAGCGCAGTGAGCGATTGCTATTCTTCCAGCGACACCTGCAATTTGCGCTCTCTCATCACGGTGCGTAGACGATCCTGCAATCTATTGGCTTGTATGAGTCAATCGGTGTTGTGACTAATTGCTTCATACGGCCCCTTTGACATTTTGACAGCTGATGTATAGAAGGTGTGTTCCTGCGATCGATCTTCCAGGGGCACACTCTCAATACATGCTGGGCATTTTTGTGATTTAACATATTGCACCACTAACACGTCTGGCTCTTTGTGGTAGGTATAGCCAGCATCATCTACTCTGGCTGATTTGGTCCGGATCAACTACCCCATCAATCTCAAGACGTTGGTATTCGGCACGAAGAATCATCCAGGCTGTCTGTGACTGCTTCATGATTTGAACAATCCGAGAATCATGCCACGTTTATAAAGCTGCGTGCAGGTTCTATCTTGCCGAATTCGTCCAAGTATATTCATCCTAACATCAAACCAGAAGATGAATCCTTAGTTCCTGACTGGTACAATGGCAACGGTATCGCCAGCGGGAAAGATACCATATATACCGTGACATGAACGTGCACAGTTTCTAAATCTTCTCATGTGCCTCTTTGCACGGTTGTAACCTCGGGGATCACAGTCACCAGCTTTCTGTATGCTCGATCATGGATTGGGTGCTATTAGCGTCAACTCTACCGCTTCTTGCAGAGCACTGACTCTTGGATCTGAACAGAGAGAAACCAGGTAGCTATATGATTTCTTGTTGATAAAAAATTTCGAAATCAGCGCTTAGAGGAGCGATATATCTGGCCCTTTCTGACAGTAGCGAATCACTGGATCTCAAGGAATGCTATTTGCGCTTGTCAGTATCTTTACTAGGACAATTTTTGTAGGCCTTTTGCCTTTGAGCTCCCAGAGCTTATAGGTTGTGTTAGCCTGTCATCGAAGCAAGATATACACATTATCCGCTGCTGTTTAGCACGATGTAAATCATATCACACACAGGGAACATCCTATGTAAACCGTGATATGGAGGTTCTCTAATCATTCCCTGGATCAGTTTGGACATTCTGACGAAAAGCTGGTCGTCAATTGAAAATGTCTTCTTCCCTTGAGCCCCCAGAGCTTATGTGTTCTGCCATTGCGTTTAACACTATCCAACTCGACATCTCTCACACCAAGCCCTAGACGTTGATTGGTGCGATATAAACTGGTTAACCCGCCAATGCTCATATAGACAGTTATATAACTTTGTATTATTATCCAACCAGCTTGTGTGGTCGCTTTGGCATCGTGTGAACGAGTCAGCCTCAACATAGAGTTATGCTTTCAAGCCCCCAAAACTTGTGGCTTCCGTATCTATACTGATCCTGAGTTATACTAAGGTATTTCGACGTCGTTGACTAATACGATATAAATAATATCACCTGCAGAACAGACCCCAAGTCACCGCGGTGCAAGGAGATATATTGATTGTGAAGGCGTTTCACCTTCGCTTTAGCTGCGAGGAGACTTGAACATGTCCTATGGGGGCCCAAGAGGTCTTCATAAACTCCTGGGTCGTTTGTCGGATCCATGAGGGACAACAAGGATTGGTATCTGATAATAAACAGTGCATTTTCGAGCATCTCATTATCGGAACCTTGAGACTTAGATGAAACATGTAAACACCTATTTAGGATAGATAGATAGATAGATAGATGATCGTTTGATTTCAAACTCATGGATGATAGAATGGATTACGGGAGAGGAAGAAGAAGAGGAAAGATCTACACCAGACGAAGTGGGAGAAGAGAAAAAGAAAATAGAAGAGAGTGAATGCCCTGATATTCTCAGAAACGGTTACTGTCACTGTCAGTCCCAATGATAGAGCAGGTCATCTACAATCTACTCGTAGGGCTTCTATACAGAATCACATCGATTTAAACGGCACCCATGCCAATATCTCATTCCATCATTCCATAAAACAAATGCAATGCATACACACATACAAAACCAACAAACACCAAACGCCATATCCATCCCTAATCCACCCATCACAACCCATCCCAATCCAAAATCCAATCACCTCCTTCCCTCCCTAGCATCCCTAGCATCGCGGGCATCCCTCCACCCACTAGAAATCTCCCCCGTCTCCCTATCCTCCCTAATCCCCAACGCCTTCCGTAACCGCTCACTCTCCTCGATCTTCGCCTCCGCCAGCTCATGCACCTGATACGCCTTGAACTGTTTCTTTTCTTTCGGTGCAGCACGACGACCGCGGCGGTCACGACTATCAGAGGGCGCGTTGGCTTCGTCGTCTAGTTCTTTAAGTAACTTCTGGCGGAACGTTTCGCAGCGTTCGTCGATTTCAGCGTCGGATAATACCCTCTTCTCGTTGTCGTCGTTCTTGGACGTCTCCCCTTCTTCCTTATCCTCCTCCTCCCCCTCCCCCTCCTCATCACCACCCTTGCCCTTCCCACCCTTCTTCCCCTCAGCCAACTCTTCCTCAACCCTCTCACTCTCCTCCTCCAACCTCTCTCTCTCCTCCATAACCCTCACCTCAATCCCACGCAACCGATCATGTTCCAGAATCTTCCTGTCAGGTTGTCTCTGTTTAAACCCGCCGTCTTCAGAGATGGGCGGGTATGGCGCGCCGTAGCCCGCGTTGCGCGGCTTGATGAAGGCGTGGTTGCGCTGGACGTAGCCGGATGTGCCGCTGCCGCGGGGGGTGGTTAGGCCGACGTTTGAGGACATGCCGTTTTAGGGGAGAGTTTTTCGGGGGTGGTTTGGGGATGAGGACCGCTGATGATTCTTTGGTGGTTTGGTGGATGGTGGTCGGTTGAGGTCAAGGTGAGTGGTGCTGGTTTAGTGGGTAGACGGTGAGTGTTTCTCGGTTGTGAGTAGATGAGGCCAGAGAAATGCAGATATCTCCAGAGGACGTTAAGTTCAAATGATAATGGCCTGTATGAAACAACAGACACCGATGTAGTGGCAATGACTACGGAGTAGAAACCGAAGCTGTCTGCAAATAAATCGCAGTCGATCACGTGGCGATAACGATAACAGACTTGGCCGTATTCATCTAATCAACCTTTTGATTGCCACTTTTACGACGTAAAATAGCAACTACTACTACTACTACTATCAACCTTTTGATGTAGTTACTTGTAGTACTCCATTGTTATACATACTTGTAACAACATTACATCAACGATCCTCGATCAACTATCTAATAACACACCAGAGAAGAGAACTATAAACACAAAACAGTACAAGCAACATTTTCAATTGATTTCACTGTATACCATCATGTCTCGTTTTCCACGGGATTTCCCTCGTATGTTCAAGGTTCCCCATTCTGTACCCGTTTCGAAACCAATTAAACCATAAAAGAGAATCCCAGCAACCGTTCGCCGTATCCCTCGTTGGACATGATAGACTGAATTATGGAGACGTGCGTTCATTTCATCACATCAACAGAAGAACAAAACAATCACATGAACAGATTAAAAAGGTTGGTGAAAAGGGGAGTCGAAGAAACAAAAGCAATAAGTGCACGGAAAAGAAAACATAAAAAAAAAAAAAAAAAAAAAAAAAAAAAAGCCAGGTAAGCCAGCCGTCATCCTATGTTACGCCTGAATGCAATTAGGCGGGTGAATCATATATCCCTTGGGATCCCCTGTATGTATACGCCCGATCAATGTAAAACGTTCGGGTACAAAACACAAACATAAAAATAATAATGGGTAAATATTTCAGCAGAAAGGAAGAGTGTTGTGCGCGGTTGAGCATGCTAGTTAGCACCGGTAATTTCGACCGGAACAGTCGCGTCAGGAGTAGTGGCCTCGGAGCTCGATGCCGATGTCACCGTCGTCCGAGCAAGACCTTTGGAGTCGGTTCCATTGCCAGTCTGCGAGTCCGTTGGAGGAGGCGTAGGGGGCGCTGCTCCGACAGACACTTGACCGTTTTCCACGGCCCGTTTCGATGGTTGAGGAGAGGACTTGTGCGAGTTCGGTGGTGTGGTGGACGAGGTAACATGCGAGAGGGCGCTGCTCGAAGGCAGACTAGGGTCGAAAATGAGTTTCTCGATGGCGACGATCTGCTTGCCGTAGCTGTATTTCTTCAGCTGACTCAGCAATGGCTTGATCTGGTCAATGAGTGCCTCTTTCTCGGCGCCTTGGAGCTGAGTGAGAATCTTCTGGATAACGTAGTTTCCATATTGGTCACGCATCAAGCCAAGCAGTGGGCTTTCTCCTCTTTCATTGGGCAATGTGAGCGTGTTGATAATATGCCGACGCTGCGACTCTTCACCGAATTCAATACTCTTTTCGACCACGTTACTGGCAAACTTGTGTTTCGAGAACATGAGAAGCTGCGAAACCACAACGATGATCATGCGCGAGCGGTCCTTCTCCTCTCCATTTTCGATCACGTGCTGAATGACGTAGTTGCCAAACTGGTCGGGGATCAGGTTGGGCGTGCAAGCGTGCAGTTCACCCAGGATCGACTCGCGGTCTTCCTCCTCGCAATGCTCAAGCATGCGCTGGATAACCCGGCATCCGTATGGATGTGCGGCAAGTCGGCTGACCTGGCCCTTGAACGCGTTGATGATGAACTGTACGTAGTGAGATGGGACCCGCTCAATGGCCTTCTGAATGACATGGTTGCCGTTCTGGTCGCGCACACATTTCAACACGTGGTTTTCCAACTCTTTGACCATCGATGCTTGCTGGTCGGTAAGGATGTGCTCGAGAGCCTGTATGAGTTAGCGACATTCTGCGGGGTTGTGGCAATGTACTAACCTTCTGAACAACACGGCAACCATACATCTGAGTGGACAGCGCAAGCACATGTCCCTTCATCTGGTTGGCAAGAATCTTCTTCTGCGTCTGGTTGCCATGCTCAAACAACTTCTGAACAACGTAGTTCCCAAACACATCGGTCATCAGCTGAAGGCAGTTCGGCTGGATTTCACGGAACACCTGCTCCTTCTCATCGCTGTTCGCGGTTTCCAACTTTTGCTGGATGAATCGGGATCCGTGCTGGTCGCCACTGAATTCCACCACATGGTTGTAGATGTCCTGAGAAGTCAGTGTCTGTCAAATCGATTACATCATTTGGAAAACTCACCTTCAATTCATAACGTTTGTTCCCCTTGCTGTTGGCTCTAAACTCTTCCAACAATGGACTGCGCACAACCTGGGACAAATCGTTCTCTCGGGTGGGTCTGGGGGCATATGCTGCTGGCCCGATACCTGTCAGGGGAGAAGCGGGATAGTAACCCGCCAAAGGATTCATACGAGTAGCCTGGTAATTTGCAAGGTCGTATGCGGAAGGGTATTGTACGCGGTGTAGCGGGTTTCCAGGAGACACGAACTCAGCCTCGGCACGTAGTCTGCGCTCCAAGGCGGCCGCCTGTCCTTCGGAGAGACGGCTACCAGAGGCATTCCGGAAATGAGGACCAGCTAATGATGCGCCGTCCAGTCCGGAGTAAAAAGGACTTTCCATGCGAGTGAGCTCGGACGGGGAAATACCACCGCCTTCCATGCGTGCCCTGTTGGCCGTTTGGTAAGTGAGAAGGTCTGCCGCACCGTCACCCATGTATCCTTGAACGGATTGGTAATTCCCCTCATCGCCCGCAGCCTGGGGATACTTGGAGCGGGAGACACTCCCATCAAACGAGCCGTGGGGCATGTAAGAGGGGCGTTGGGTCGGAAAGCCACCATCATTGAGCTGAAGCTTGCTTAAGCCTGCATTCAAGTCCATAGAGCCACCCCCTAGTCTACCATCAAACCCTTGGTTTTCTGATTGGAATGACGGGTGTGAAGTATGCGTCTGTCGTTGGGAGGCAATCGATGCCGAGCTGTGGGGCATATGACTGTAAGGGTTCCGGGGCAGCTGTTGAGCTAGGGCGTCGGGCAATCCTTGGGGTAAGGACGACATGGCCATGGACCCGGTCATATCATCGCTCGATGTGTCCATGCCGGGTTTCATCTGAAATCGCGGGCCCACTGGGCTACCACCAAAGGCGGACGAGTTGACATTGTGTCTGGCATCGCCATTCCTGAAGCCACCGAAACCGCCAAAAGAAATACCATCTGTCGAAGGAGAGATTCCATCGGATGCGCTGTTCAGGTAGGCCTTGTGGTTTGCTGCCCCTCCGGCACCCGCGATTCCAGAGCGTGGCAGGGAGAAGTAGGAAGGGGCGTCGGCCGCCTCAGATAGTGCCGACGCGCTTCGATCGTTAGGTCTGGCTTGCACTGGCGATGTATTCATGGCTGTCGTGCCTCGGGCCAGGGATGATGATGTGTTAACAGTGGTCCAGGGAAGGTTGGGACGCGAAGTCCATCCATCTGATTCGGAGGTCGACAACAGTGACCCGGACCCTGACTTGCCTTCAAAGGCTGTTTCTGCGAGATGTTGATCTACATGGGTTAGCACCTTGGCACTCGGCGGAAAAGTTAGAAAGGCGAACTCACCATCGAACCCATTTCCGAGGTTGTTGTCCCCCCAGATGTTGCTGTTCCATGCCTTGCTCCCACCAAAACTCTTCGCCATAGTAGACCGGTCGTTGCTCATGCCAGAAGAACTGACGTTTGTTCTGTTCGCTCGCACCTGCACCATTGTTAGAAGCGACTCAGTGTATGATTCCAGTGAACTGCTCACATTATGTACGGAGGTCGCATTTGCAGCCATGGTGGACGCCATTCCAAGACGAGAATCCAAGTATTTAGTCAAGTATGTACTCGAATGGGAAGTATTTGCAGGTAAATGGCGGGAGTTTGTTGGTATGTTTGGACCAGGCTACAACACAGTCGACCTGTTATTTGCAAATAATCACCAGGCACCCGGCAAGGCGTAATCCGTACACGGAACGGAAGAATATAAAACTGAATCGACAGGCCACACTGTTAGTTCAGGTCATCAAATGCTGGGTTTGAACAAATGAATCAAGTAAAGTCGACTTACCAAGGGAGAGAATAGAAGGATAAACAGGAAAGGGAACGGATGAGAAAGAAAAAGAAGATGTACGGAAGAAGGTTGGTCCCGATAAAAGTAGGAAGAAATAAAGAAAACAGAACGAGGCTGACAAGGATATTTTCCGTCACGAGCAGCAACGGCGCCTGTCCGACAGGTACAACAAATTATACAAGGGGACCAACACAAAGGAAGGGATAAGAGAGCGAAGGGAGAGAAGGAATCGAACGGTATCCGACGAAGAGAGACGAGGGAACGGAAGCTTGATAAGAGAAGCGAAGCAAGCAACTAACACCGAGCGTAGTAATAGCGGTCGAAGAGACACCGAAGAATAGGAAACGCAAGGTGACAGGAATTGAGGATACTCAATGTCGGTTCTTTCCTCTTTGCGGATCAGACGCTAAGAAACGATCTGCCAACGTGTGTAATGTGTTATATCAAACAGCCTTGTATCGCAACGTTGTTACGCTCCGTGCATGCTCCAGGAACCCCGAGTCTCGCAGATCACCGTCATGTGCCGTTGCCCAGGGTCGACTCTTAAGCGGAGGAAGGACGAGCGAAAGTGCGTGTGCGTATGGATAATGTTATACAGCAGACTGACAGAGAACGAGCGAGACGCGGCGTGGTGTGTAAAGAGAGCGAGAGGGTGTTTTAATCAGACACGGTCGTCGCGGCAAGGGATGGGAGAGGACGAAGGAAGGAGGTTGTGGTGGGAGTAATCGACGAAAGAGAGACGGTAGGAGGTTGGGAAGAATGCTGGTATTGTTGAATCTGTGTTGCGCGATGATGGGAGATAAAATGAGATGGAAGAGAGGGAGAGAGAGAGAAAGAGAGGGAGAGATCGGACGGATGTCAACGAGGAGGAAAAGGAAGAAGAGGAGGAGCAGTCATCCAGTTGTCACACAGGGAGGCGGCGGGCGGTAGAGAAAGAAAAGTGGTGGTAAGTAAGATCAAGTGGTAAGTGGTGTATGCAAGACAGGCAAGTCCAGATGAGCTGGAAGGTTAAAAAAAAAAAAAAAAAAAAACAAAAAAAGCTTT